CTCCTCTTCTCGTCTGTCCATCTCCATCCTAGGTGGAGAAAACGGACATGGCGCGTTGGCGAGGAGATCGCAGCGACATCTGTGCTGCCGTGTCTAGCGGAGAGACTGCTCGCAGGATGAGGGTCCTCGGTGGATCTTCTTTCCTGGCTCTTTCGCACGTCAATCAGCCGCCAAGCGATCAAGAGTCAGTCGGTGGGAGAGGACGTGAGCACGGCTCCTGTCAAAAGCTCGTGTGCTGTGTGCTGTGAAGGGTGGCACATTCTGTCATGTCATGCGTAGAACATGCACACACACACACACATGAACGCGCGCACACGCACACCCACGACTCGGCTGTTGGGGTGTGTGGTTGGGTGGGCGAATGGGCCGCGCGCTGGCCTTCCTCTGGGGATATTGCTTTTCTGACACGTCGGTTCCTTGCAGAGGCGAACCTCATGCCGTCGACGAAGGAGCTGCAGTGGAACAGACTTCCGATGCAGCCGGGCGATTCTCGACATGCGGGCTGGCACGCTCATCGTTTTCGGCACGTTTGGATCCCCTCTCGGCACGATGGCCCAGATGGATGGGGCCCAAAGTGGGTGGTCGAATATAGAAAGATGGAGTCGTTCGTGCCGTCTATGATGAAGGCAAGGCCGAGATGGGAAGTATGGTGTGCCACAACGAAAGATGATGGAGGGTGGAAGAGGAGGGGGGGATGGATGTGCATAAAACGTGCGAAGCCAAGACGAGCCTGCCTCATGCATCGCTGCATCACTCTGCATCTGCGAGCAGATCTCGCCCTCTACAAGAGGATGTACATGCATGTCGTTTCACTCAGATAATTTTTTTTTCTTCCTTCATTGAAAACAAAGATCTTCCAACATGGGTTCTGCGATGGACGCACAAGGTAGCATCGTGGGAGACAAGCCCCAGACATGGAGGAGCTACATATAGGTTCCTCGTCCTTTGCTTCCATGTTCACACAACGGCGAGGGTGCGATATAAGCACGCCACGTCGTTTCAATGTTTGCAGAATGGTCAAGCTCCAGGACATATACTAGGGGGCCGGCTGAGGCAACACTGAAGTGGGGAGAAGGCAACGTCCGACGTGGGGATGCCAGGGCATGGGTTCTTGCAAAGGCCAGCTCATGCGTTGTGATCCCGCTTCCCTGAGATAGAGGTATATGGGGTTCGTCCATGACACATCACAATATCGATTGGGCAATGTCCGTTGCGGCAGGAGCTCTCTGGCATATCTTGATGTCGCGATATGGAAGCATGCTGACCATGTATCCATGCACATTGGTTCGGCCGTACTAGCGGCTCAGGATCGTCGTCAATAATGCTAGCGTGTCATCAAGTTGGCCTGGATAACTCTCTCACTTTCTCACATACACACAAAACAATGTCACGCTGTCCGAGATGACCCCAATGGTCTCGCGAGGCATCAGATCATGATGGTAGCGTAGCGTTCGTCTCCAACAAACCAAGGTGGATGATGTATGCCCTGCCACCAATCGCCTAGTGCCAGAGTCAGGTCATGGTCAAGTAGTGTTGTCCAGAGACCGATCATGAATCACTGCTCCCCCACAACCTCTGCAATGTATCTGGCGATGCCATCATCATCCTCCACACGCACTCTGTCCTCCCCCATCAACCATCCACATCCACATCCACCTGCATCATGCAGACTGCAGACTGTAGACGCAGGTCCAACAGAAACAAGCCAAGCGCATGCTAACCCACCCACCCTTCGGCCTCCGACGAAGGGCAACGAACAGGGCCTGCGTGTCGTGCGAACCACGGCAGAATGGTCTGTACACGCAACCAACAGAACACGATGTCACCTCTCTCGTTGCCAACCCTCCGGTTCCCCTGCAACAGCAAGTCTGTGCCTCTCAGTTCTAGTGGGGAAAGCGAGAGCGAAGGGGTCAGCGAGGTAGAAGGGAAGCCTATCTGGGTACCCTGGATCTGCCCTGGCAAGACGCTTCAGGCAGGTCGGATCGCGCACGGGAAGAGGGAACAGACGTCGGGGGAATGGAGGCTGGGGGGGGGGACACTGATCGCCGTTGCGGCCCTTCAGCCAAGGCCGCGTCTAGGTCTGTGTGTTCGTTAGCTACGGGTCCTCTGCCCCCCGCCCCCCCCCCCCTGGGTCGACACAGGCCTAGTGACGAGGACGGACTAGGCTATCTTCCAGGGCAGGCAATGGTACGGAACAACAGGATAGGGGGGGGGGCGTGGTGTCAACAATCGGGAGAAGACGATGAAGGGGGGGGGCTCTGACGGCGTAATCTACAGAAGACCCTTGGCTCTCTGTCTTGATTGATCCCATGTACTGTTGGCGAATGTCGTGCATTGCATTTTGACAGCCAAAAGAAAGGACTCGTCTTGTTTCGACAGCAAGGCTCGACTTGAACAGCAACAGATGCCGGCTACAAGGCCATGCCTTATATCGGGTCGGACATTTACACGTCCTCAGCCGGTCACGTTCCTCCGGCATCATGTCGCATTCGCCTGCGGCTACTACGACTGCCATTCGAAGGCATCGGCAAGTGGGCAGAATATAGCGAGATAGCTCATGTTTATCCTTCGCTTCGCAGACTGCTCAGTCATGCCCGTCCAAAGCAAGACAGGACAGGGTCAGGCATCACGTCCACTAACGCTGCTAGCCAGCTACTAGCATCCCGCAATGGGCGTCAAAGTAGCGTCCCTGGTGATGAACAGGGGCCTTCGTCAATGTCCATATCCATATCCATACCCGCTCAAGTCTGTGCTTGATCAGGATTGCCATATTCCCACCTGTTCGCCGTTGGCGCTTCGCTTCACATGATTTTCTTACCCCATAGAGGCTCTAAACAAGCGATGCCTCCATGCCCCCCTCCTTTCGCAAGCATATCCCTCCCTCTCCCCCAGCTCCCTTTCTCCTCCTTGTCACCTCCTCCGAAGGAAAAGCCACGATCCCGAGGCGATCACCAGGCCCCGGCGTTTGTCTCGAACTGACCACACTCAACCACCACCACCTGATCTCCGCACCCCCCCCCCCTCCCCAGCCTGGTTTGCGCCTCCGTCCCACGATCCACCAGTCGAGGAGATATCGTGATCATGGTCCCATTCCTGCATCGGACCCCATCGCGCAGCTAACGTAGTTCGTCTAGTCACAGGAGCACCCCTCCCCCCCCTTCTCTCTAGCCCCTCTAGCCCCTCTAACCCCATTCCACCCAGGCTAGCAAGGATACAAGGAAAACATCAATGTAAGATCTAATCATGCACGTCGTCGTACGCAAACCCCCAACAAACAAACAAGGAACAAGCCAAGAGACGTAATCGACAGACGAACCCGCAGACGAGGGGGGAGGGGACAGAAGAGGGAGGGGTGGAGGCGCGTAGCAGAGACACACCAAAAAAAAGCCCCATTCGCGTCGGCCGCCGCCCGCTCGCCTTACCACCTTGCAGAACACCTGTCATACGCCACCATCGTCAACATGACAAACGAAACCCCAACTCACACACAGCCTCGAGTGAGCAGGCTGTCGAATCTGAGACATGGTACCACGCATTTCAGCGAGTTCCCAAAGTCCCCAAGTCCCGTATTCTGTACTGGTCTCGCCTTTTCACACCCTCAGCCTCGACGCTGGAGCCGCGCAGGCTTGAGTAGGCGTCAGGCGGGGTTCGGAGAATATCGCGACCCCCCTCTCTACTGCTGCTACTGCTACTGCTTGGGGGTTTTGTTCTTGTCCTTCCCTCCCCTGGCCGCGCGGTATTCGAGGTTCGAAGCTTGGTCCTGTCGTGTGACGCGACAGAGTGATTATGTTGTGCTGCCATCCATTGTGTAACGGCCCATGCGTGCGCGGCTCATCATGCATACGAGACGCACACATCAGCCTCCCCTAGGCCAGGCCATCCAACTCCCGGAGACACGGACCCCCCCCCCCCCCCTTGGCCGTTGCTCACTCCCATTCCCACCGCCGGAGAGGGAAAGAGATTGGGTGCTGCCACATTGGCGTTCGTCACACACCTGGCCGTCCTGTCGTGTCACCCGCCAATGTTTCTCTTGGACAGCCGGGACGATCAAGCATGACGATCTCTTGCCCCCGCCCCCTTTCTGCTTCTCAAAGAGCCGCCGGCTTCTGCGACCCCATTGGCTTCGGCAACTGCTCCGTACCTGCCAACCATGCAATGGAAATCCTGGGACTATCACACAACCTCAAGCGAGGAGTAAGCAAAGGCATCACGAAGAGACGAGTCGACAGGAACACGAATGTGAAACGGAAATCTCTGGTGGTTCGACTTTTTGTGGTTCCCTCCCCTACGTAGGACAGTCTATCAGGAAAAGCCCAGGCTCAGGCTCAAGCCGACCTCGACCTTTCTCAGTCTACGGCGCAACTATCCCGGCGACCACCTTTCATGGCAGCTCTGTTGAGGAGCTGCCCAGAAAAACAAACATAACGGAAGCAATGAATCCACCCGTACCAGAAGGCAAAGGTCCAGGTCCAGAGCAACTCCAGCTCAGACCAGCTCAAGCCCGAGTCGGGCGAAGCAGCGCGCCAATGTTGTCGAAAGTGACCAGAAAACCTCCCCCCTTCGTTCAAAATGGTTGCCGTCCCAGGAATGGATCCCTTCAAGACCGGCGGTCCGCAAGCCGCCATGCTAGTAATGATTTCTCCTCTCATGCAAGCCATGCAGTCAGAAAGCAAAGAGAGCTTTTGCAATGCCGAAATCGACGGGCCGCGACAATGGGTAAAGCCCAGGGCGCAAAGAAAAAAAAAAGCTATTGGCCCGTCCTGAAATGAGGTCGTGAAAGGGATGCCGCCGTTTTGTTAATGAGCCTACACGAGCGAGAGTTCTGTTCCACCTCCGCTCTCGTCTCAAAAGAAGAAGTAAAAATAACATCCAAATTCAATCTGCCGTGTAATTCGTGGTTCGTCATTAATTCGTTAGGGTTCCCTCTTTGAATGCGAGGTTGTCTCCATTTTGAAGAAGTTCACGTGAGGCTCCGTATCCTTGCTGCCAACACGCACTTCCTACTGGCGAGCTTCAATGTGCCCGCTCTTCTCGGTTGTCTGGCGGTACCGGATGAGATCCTGTCCATTGGGAGGTGTCGTCATACTGGTGGCGCGCTTGGGACGGGGGAAGAGACGAATGTCATCATTAGCGTCACCGTCGGCACGGCTGCCCCATGAAATCTGCCAGATTGTTAGCGATATTGCTCGAAGATCTGGATACCTGGGAAAGTTGGGTGTGCCTACCATCTTCAGTGTGAATAGCGCATACAGCTTGATGAGGCCGTGGAACCAGCCAAAGAGAATCGACGCCGGGAGGAACACGAGATCGCTAGGGTTTCGCTTGAAAAGGCCCATAAGCTTGACTACCTTGGTGAAGCCAAAGACGAAGGCAATCTGAGCCCAGAAAGCGATGCGTCGGTTCTCGGGATCCCAATCGGCGGTCCCCTTCCAGAGAGCCACAATGATGAAGGGGTCCATCACGAAGGCCAGAGAAGTAAAGGTGGCAATGTGCAGGGCGTAGGTGCACCACATTTGCTGACTGTAGGTCATCCTGTCAGCAGATTGCACATTGCGGGAAAGACACGGGGGATGTATGACTCACGTCAGCACGTATCGCTCCGTAACCAGGCTCGTCCAATTGCTTCGCCAGTTGCTGCGAGCCCATCGGGAACACTGGTAGAGGAAGTTCATGCCGTTTTCGAGCGTCGTCTCGAGCTCGCACTCGCGCTCATACTGGATCCAGGTCTTCCACTGGTGACTAACAAGCCAGCGGGTGACAAAGTTGTCGTCATCGGCGTTCAGGATGTACGGCCCCCATTTCTCCGTCTTGAAGCCCTCAAGGAAATCGTGGCTCGATAGAATCTCGGAACGGTAGGCGCCGGTGCGACCAGACATGCACGATGTACCGCCATCAATGTTGTGGGTGGCCGATATCTCGAAATTGCGTCGCTCAATGTACGCTGCGCCCAGCCAATTGAAGATGCGAGTCGACCATGGTCCCTCCCAAACACGCCTGACCCTCTGACAAGTGCCAACTCCTCCCATCTTCGGGTCCTCGAAAGGCGCCAACAGCCATGGCATGATGGTTTCTGGCCATGTCACATCGTCATCGGCCATAATGGTGATTTTGGTTGCGACGTTAGGCAGAGCCTCACAGACCTGGAGGCGCTTGTTGGCGATGGGGGTGGACAGAACTTGGACGTTGGGATGCGGCAGAGTCTCTGCGAGCTTGGCAAGGGACTTGTGCTTGTCAACGGTGGTCACAAGAAGAAGGCCGTATGGCTTGCAGGCAAGAATGCTCTCAAGAGAGGGACGAAGCTCCTCGAAGACATTATGGATCGTCGGAATAATGACGGTCACGTCCTCCGAAGTGAAGCTGGGCTTCGCGGGGACAGGCTTAGACTTGTACGACCAGTGGCTCACGCAGTGAACGAGTAGGCGCACGTAGCGGTGGAGCCTGTGCCAGGGTCAGTGGCTGAACGGAAGTCATGATGACGGCAGCGAATGGTGATGCCAATGCTCATAAAGAACGTACCACAGAGCGATAAATAGATATAACCACGAGGTCGTGGTCCAGAGCGACCCAAAATTGGGAAGGAAGAAGTTCAGCATCGTGAACCGGGGGGAGAGGGGGGTCTGCACGCGTGCAAGCTGGTGGTCGTATCCGCGCGCGGGAGATGTCAAGGTTTGGCGGTAAACTCGGCGGCGTTGTAAGCGGACGCGGTCGAGTTTGAGGTGTTGATGGTGTTGGGGGGGAGGGGGGGAGTATTGGTGAAAAAGTTCGTGACTTGCAATGAACTTTATATATAGGTGGTGGGTGAAGATGGTGAGGGTATTGTTGTGGGTGAAAGTGTAGTGCAGTCTGGTCGACTAAAATGACACCACTAAACAGTGAATGCAACGGTTGGTATTCACGATCTTTTGGTGGAAAATGGATAGCTTGGAGCCAATTCACTTTTCGGTGCAAGGCTTTCGAGTCACAGCGACCGTACGCACGACCAAAGTTGTGCAAAACTGGGCAGGTGTAGAGTAGACTTGGCTTGCCGAGGGCGAGACCTAGACCGAGAACCAACAGACTCTTCAAGTAGTCGACCGCGGCAGTTCCACAAAGAATCAATTCCGTCGGCTTCTGAGGGCAAGGACCTAAGCGAGACCTTGTGTTGACCCAGAGGGGAGGGTGCTTGATGTGATGAACGACCGTTGTGGTGAGTGTGCCGCCAAAAGACCGAGGATCAACACCCAGATCGTGTATGGGGTTTGGATGTCGTCGGAGATGGGATGGGGAAACCTAACCAAGGTGTTGTACAAATCTCAGGAAAAGGGTATTAAAGAAACCCAGCCATTGACAGACCAATTGGTCTCAAAACAAAACAATGACCCTAGGGAAGAAGTTGATTTGAGATCCTCCGGGGAAGCAGGAAGAGGGCGGCAGCGAGGGGGAAAGATATATAGCCAGACGTCCAGCTCTGGCTGGCCCTGCCCTGCCCATCCATGTGCGATGCGCGCCAAGGCATCGAGACGGTAGTAGTCTCGACCGGGTGTCCGAACAGGGCAATGGGGCGTGGAGCATGAGAGCTATGTCATGTACGCATATTGTGCAGATGGATGTGGAGGGATGGGATGGGATGGAGGGGAGGATGGATCAGTCGAACTGAGCGTTGACTGCGCGTACGTACCTACCTACCTAACCTGCCTACCAACACACTCCAAAGCAGAGCAGTGGGAGTAGAGCCGACAGCGTACATGGATGGCATTTCAGGGTATCAGCAGGGGGGAGGGGTGGCTCTGGCGGTTGTATCGAGGAGGGGGTGTGCTGTCGATGTGGGCACTAGACCAGCCTGGGAGATGGAGACTAGCGTCAACTGACGGGGCAAGGAGGCGTGCAGCCAGCAGGCATCTCACACGCCAACCCCGGCAACACTGGCTGGCTGCGCGCTGTGAGGTACTGGAGCGGTACCTACTCGTACTTGGGGGCTGGAGGGAGAGCCCACTCAGCCATCTGTGCGCACGCCAGGTCTGGAGAGCGACAGAAGGCTTGCTTGTAAGGATACCTAGGCAAGTTCAGACAGATTCTTCGACTTGCTTTGAGATCACCTAGAGCTCTTCACGCCCTGGATCATCCTCACCCCGATGCGGAGCGGGCTCGTGGGACTGCAAACGCATAAATGGCAACAAAGAGAGCCGTTGTCCAACGTGCGGGCCGCAAGAGCACAACCCATGGCGTGACCAAGCCGCCGCTGGTCCTGTCTTTGCTCCCCCCCAGCTCGCTATAAGCGCGCGAGGCCGGCCCTGTGAATCTAGAAAGCCATCTACTAGCCATGATTAGCTCCAGGGCCTAATGCCGACGGGGTAGTGGTTAGTCCACTAATGATACTGGTCGTCTGGACGCTTGACGAATTGCCCCTCTGGCCCCTCCGCCCCTCACATTGGCGGCGACTGGGGATAGGCGAATCAACAACACAAACGATCTGGTGGGGAAATCGACGGGCCAAGATGAGGAGGGATTGCGGCGTTTTGCTGCCAAAAAAACAACTCGCCATAGCCAAGGCGCACGCTCGATGACCTCGTGATAAATGTCTTAGGGTCTCAGTCTAAACATATGCGGTTGCGTTGCTCTTCTCTGGTGAGCATGTCAGCCAGGCTCCAGAGACAATCGTGGGGGGAGATGAACACAATTGCTGTCCATCTTTTCAACACAAATGGCGCGTCTGGCGGGAAACTGTAATGCTAGCAAATGGATCATTCTCGAGGACCTGAACCAAGCACATGTGGGTATCATGGGCTTGCAGCAACATCCCACAGCGGGAGGATAATAAAAGAGGGGAGGGGTGGATGAAGATGACATGGCCTTGGACAGGAAGGACGACTGGCGCTGAATGATGCGAGAATATCCATGCTTGATGTGTGTGAGGTCCATATCGGATCTGGCATGGAATTACGGCAGGCTGCAGAGACAGTGCTGAAAGACCATCGTGGTTGGAGCCGCCGGAAGGGCCTAGAAGCGGGGAGGGATCATGAACAAGCCTTTTGATCCAATGCTGGGGCTGCAATGCAAGTCTCTGCTCGTGTTGTCCGAGTTGTGTGGACAATCATGTCTCTGTACCGTGTTTTTCCCTCGGATACTTGGTTGGTGGCCTGGTGGCATGTGGCATCAGAGACAAGTGAATCATCCTTGGAAGTGCTTCCCCTCTTGTCTGAGGAGGAGGAGAATTGATATCTGACAGAAGAATGTCTGAAGTGAACCGTGGTACGAGGCATGTAGAGACACGCCCACTGCTGCTGCTGCTGCTGGGGGGGGGGGGCACGAAGGCCTCTCATCGCGGGAGTTGCCAAACGGAGCCAAAGCTCCCCTGTAACGGCAGGACAAGAGACGGCACCAGCGCTAGAGAGATACGTACCAGCAAGGACTGATTTGCTGTTCCGTGAGGGGAAGCATCGACATGGGGCAGGGAAGCCGTGGCCATCACATTTGGCACTGTCGCGATTGGGTTAAAGGTGCGATGCGACTTGTCCAGTTCTGTAGGCTGTTGTCCAGTCTTGTGCTTTCCTTGGCTTGTCCGCCATCTGCCCTGCGCGGTAGATCACGGCCCGGCGCCAGCGGAAATCACCCATCGCTTGCTTGTCTCTCTCCGTTCTTCTGCCTCTTCCTGACACTGGAGCCAGGCGGCTCCATCTGCGAATTCGCCGCCTCGAGGCGGGATGAAGTAAGCGCCGTCTCCATTCTGCCACTTCGTGAATGATGAAAAGACGGGGCCACTTGCGTCCGTTGCCAAACGTATCCAGGCGAAAAGCCTCATCGCCGTGGAGCCTATTGACAGGGTTCCACAGTCTCTGTTGGTCGAAAGCGAAAGTCTCCCATGGTGGGGGAGCACATACAGGCCCGCCCTAGGCGTTATCCAGGCCACTCCACAGAGGCTGGCCAACAAAGTCTAGTCAAGTCACATCACACACACAGAGACGAACGGATGGCCTGCATGAGATGCTGCTGCGCGTCTCTGCCCTTGTCGGCCGTTCGGCAAGCCATCGCGAGGCGGGAAAAATGACCTTGCAGAAAGACCGGCCTTCGAGCCGCAGCTGATGCGGACTCGGAGGATGGCTCAAGCTTACAGGGGCTGAGGCGCATGACGCCTATCCTATCGAACAGCCCGCTGAAGCAGGTGAGAGTGCGATGGCGGCTCGGTGGACGTGTGTCTTTCATGGCGTGATCTGAACGATCGAGTCAATGCTGGATGCATGGGGAGTAGAAACAAGTCTTTGGCATTTTGGTTTCTTTGACACCACATACTGTTCAGCAGAGCGCTGAGGGCTGATAATGCCAGTCAGTCTTGCCAATCCCTCCCTGGCTGCGGATGGGGCAGATGGAAATGGGCATGAGGCAGTTGCAGCAGAGAAGGATTGCAGGTGAGGAAGGCGAGACGGGAAGGTACACACACCTAAGGTGAGGATGGGATGTCCCTGCCTCGCCGTCAATCACCAAGGTAAGAATGTACCCTGGACACAGCCAAAGGCCAGCCAGCAGAGGGGCGAGTCTAGTCCTGGGCTCCAAGGTAGGCAGGTACGTCTTGACGACCTGGTCCACAGCAGGACCAGCCCTGCTCCGGTATATTCTCGGCCATGGCGCATTATTCCTCTGCCGTCCATATCTGTTGTCTTGTCATATGCTTCTCTGCTCGCTTCCACCAGTCTTGGTAGTCTGGATGTATTGGGGGTTCCCGACCCGGAAAGGCACGGCTTGCGGGCGATGCCATGCTTCCGAGATGCTGGCACGGACGACTGCGACAATTGGAGCTTGACGAGATTTCTCTTCCTTTTCAACTTGCGATCAACTGTGGCGAGATGGCAAACCATTTCTATGATGCGAAATTACACAAGCTGCAGTATGGCCTTCAATGCACATTCAGAGCAGTACTTTCAAGCCAATAATCCTGCATTTGCTGATGGCTTGACGCAGCACCGAATGCGCGCTGTTGATGCGCTGCGTCGATACCCTAGACAAGCCTGGGTACCTACTGCAATCAGCATCCTTAACCGTGTGAACTCCTGTTGGGTTCACCCTTCCAACTCTGTTCTGCGAATGCGAAGAGTGGCCTACCGAGCTTCCCCCCTAGGCATTTTCAGTCTCCCTGTGGATGGAGTCATAAACCATGGCGTGATGCAGCTCGCTCTTTCGGGCGCCTGGCGTGCTGCGAGGGAAGGAGAGGCGAAAAAGGGCAGAGACGAGCTCCAGGGAGCCCTAGCGACGCCGCAACACCCCACCAAACAAGGCGAGGAGGGTCCAGGTCTTGTCCTTGGTTGCGAGCAAACCACGATGTTCCCTCCGCTACTCCATGTCTGCAGCGGCGCCACGCCGCCTATGGTAATCCACGAACGATTGTGCGAATTCTCCTATAAGCGGCCGACGTTGGCTTGCAATGGTCCGCTATCAGAAGGCCGAAAGCCACACATCAAGACACAGTTCCCGTATCCCTCACATATTTGCGCTGCCGGCTTAACTATTTGGCTGTGTTACGGGCTGCTTGTGCAAGAATGAGTCGCTGCGGCCAAGGACGACCCCGATGGGTGCTTCACTCCACGCGGCTCGATTCACCACCGATCGTGATTCAACACCAACGCGGCCGCCGGAAAGTACCGCCGTGGCATTGGACGTGGAGGGCAAGGAGTGTGAACGAGTTCGCTGCGCCTGCAGCGTCCTGTCGCTTCTTGCTTCCAGCAATGATCAGGTTCGATGCCTTTTGACTCTTCGTTCGGCTCAGGGTGGATCCCTTTCCCTTGGGCGAGTCATCTCGGCGACGATGAGACCCTTCACTTGTCCGAAATCCGTGGTGATGGGGGCCGCCGCAGTTGTCGACGTGAGGCTTCTAGACACGGTACAAGCGGCTTCGCAACATGCTGCAAGCAAAGCAACGAGGGGGGAATACAGCTCATGGCTTCTTTTGGTCGACGATCTCCCTCTCCCACTATTTCAATGGACGGATCAAATCTCCTCGCTCGGACCAAGTCCATACGTGGTACATAGGAGCCCCAACTGGAGGTCTCCCGCCACGCCCCTCATTCACATCGGAGCTTTTGATGGGGCTCCTATGGAGAATGGCCCCAGATTGATGCACTGTCGCGCAAATCGCGATGCGGCAAGCCAGGGCCCCAAGATACCCGCCAGATTGCTAGGCAGGAAGCAACCACCAACGCTGTTTTGGCCCGCAGTTGAACTTCTATGGACTCCTTTTTGGGCATCTCGTTCGTTTATGTTGCCGCTCGGGCATGACCAAATATTAGCCCCATATCAGAGCACTTCAACCAACGTGCAAGCACCGCAAATCCAGGGTCCCTGCAGCTCGCATCTCCTGGTTTTCTGCCTGCTTGTCCAGCTGAGGCATTCACATCGTGTCAATAACATCAATAAGCGCAACA